GGCACAGCACGCTGCCGCGGTCTCCCCGAGATGCCCAGTGCACTGCCTCTTCAGAGCTGTCTGGTCCCTCTACACCCCTGCACACCAGCAGCCCAGTCCAGGGCAAAGAAAGGTACTGAGGGCCTTAGCTACCTGGGCAAGTTCTATGGGTGTCAGCAGCCCAAAGCGGGGGCTGTCTGTTCATCTCTATTTCCCCTGCAGCACCCGACGGCAAGACACCATGTCTCCCCCTTTGGCAGCAACTCAGAGACTGAGTCCTGGCGAGGCCTTGCCCTCTGTTGTCCAAGGAGGCACTGAAAAGGCTCCTGAGCTGCTGGCCAGCAGCAGGCCTGAGCCACCAGACCCTAGCCCTTTCTCCCAGACCTCCCCACCCAGCTCACCCAATGGCTGGCCTCAGGAAAGGAGCCCAGGGGGTCACTCCAACAGCGCCAGTCCTCGGGGCCCTGTGCCAACCACCCTGCCCGGGCTCCGCCATGCCCCCTGGCGGGGCCCCCCAGACAGCCCAGATGGCTCCCCACTTACTCCTGTGCCTACCCAGATGCCCTGGCTTGTGGCCAGCCCAGAACCACCCCAGAGCTCACCCACCCCTGCCTTTCCATTGGCTGCCTCCTATGATGCCAACGGTCCCACTCAGCCACCACTTCCTGAAAAACGACACCTGTCTGGGTCTGGGCAACAGTCATCACCACCAGCCAGAGGCACCAATCAACATGTCACCTTTGCATCTCCTCTCCCAGATGTCACCCAGCCCCCAGGTATAAGGGTGTAGGACAATCAGGTATCCTTTAAAGAACCCCACCTCCCAGAGAGAGACTGTGGGGACCCTGGGGTCTGAACTCAACCCCTTCCTCTCCTAGAACATCCTTTACAAGAGAACCAAAGCAATGTCAAGTTCGTCCAGGACACATCCAAGTTCTGGTACAAGCCGCACCTGTCCCGTGATCAAGGTATGAAGCCAGAAAAAGTAGTGCACCCATCCCACCCCACCTCCAAGGATTGTCTTGGCTGTCTCATCCTGGCGGGGGCTTTGGTCTCCATTGTCTCAGCTCTTGGAGATGTTGCTCACCAGCAGCCATTCTCTTGCTTGTCTTTTGTTTTTCAAGACAGGGTTTCCCTGTGTAGTTTTGGAGTCTGTCCTGGAACTAGCTCTTGTAAGACCAGGCTGGTCCCGAACTCACAGAGATCTGCCTGCCTCTGCCTCCCAAGTGCTGGGATTAAAGGCATGCACCACCACTGCCCAGCATACCAGCAGCAATTCTAAGCTTTGGCCTCAGACTAGTCATTCAAAGTCCCAAAATCCTGCCATCCACATGGCTGGCTGGCTGAGTGGGAGGCCTGCTAGTGCGGCTGTGTGGGGCTGAGTGCGGCTGCGTGGGGCTGCCAGCCATCTCTAACTTTTGCCCTGCAGCCATTGCCCTGCTCAAAGACAAGGACCCTGGGGCCTTCCTGATCAGGGACAGCCACTCATTCCAAGGAGCCTATGGGCTAGCCCTCAAGGTGGCCACACCCCCACCCAGTGCCCAGCCCTTGAAAGGTACAGCATGCTCAAACTGAGGGAGTGGGTGTGGAGAGGGGAGAAGCTGCGGAGCCAAGAGTAGAGAGATGCACAGGACATCTCCATAAAGGGCAGGGGCAAGGAACGCCACGCCACCCCACCCCCCACCCCCACCCCCACCCTGGAAAGAGCTGCCCCTGGAGGAGCGGGGAGAAACTGAGATTCTGGAATCCAGTAAAGCTTCACCTTCTCCATCCCTCCCTCCTCTCAGGAGACCCCTCAGAGCAGCTGGTCCGACACTTCCTCATTGAGACTGGGCCCAAAGGCGTGAAGATCAAGGGATGTCCTACTGAGCCCTATTTTGGTGAGAAACAAGAGTCTCAGAAGGCTCTGGAGGGTTGGTTAAGGGAGAGACCTCAAGAGGGCCAAGATAGCTGTCCATGTGCCCTTCAGGATGGTTATTTTTCCCCTCCGCTTGCAGGCAGCCTCTCTGCCCTGGTCTCGCAGCACTCCATCTCTCCCATCTCCCTGCCCTGCTGTCTTCGAATTCCCAGTAAAGGTGTGTAATGTCTCCTCAGCTCTCACCACCCCTACAGTCAAACAGAGAGGTCCCTGTCTCCCCACCCCCTCCCCTTATGGTGGCTAAGGGAGTCCTCTAGCACTAGGGAAGGCTCTCCCTCTTACCTTCCTTGGTGGCCTTCATCTCCTCAGATCCTCTGGAAGAAACCCCAGAGGCCCCAGTGCCCACCAACATGAGCACAGCAGCAGACCTCCTGCGTCAGGGAGCAGGTAAGAGACCCGCTTCCCCTCCCTCTCCCTGGTGGTCGAGAGGACACTGTAGACTCCAGACACGGGGAGGGGCATTGATAGGACTGCAGGAGGTAGACCCGGCAGATACATCTAACCCACAAAGGCAGAGGAGCCCCACATTTTCAGGAGGCAGGGAAGGGGCCACTGCTGCTGGCTGTAGATCCCTTGGAGTCTGGGAGCTGCCTTTCTGGCTTGTCAGTGCGTGCCTCTAGTGCTTTCAGACAGCATTCTGAGGGAAAAGCACGAGATGATGAGATGGGAAGCTAAAGGGTGACTAAAGAGTGGCAGATCCTGGTCCTGGCAAAGCCACTCGAGCTCATCAACCTGCTTCCTGTCTTTTTAGCCTGCAGTGTGCTCTACCTGACCTCCGTGGAGACAGAGTCACTCACTGGCCCTCAAGCCGTGGCCAGGGCCAGCTCCGCAGCTCTGAGCTGCAGCCCCAACCCAGTACCAGCCATTGTCCACTTCAAGGTTTCAGCTCAAGGCATCACACTGACAGATAACCAGAGAAAGTGAGCCTGGGTACCAGCCTCCTTAGAGGCCCAAGGAAGAACTTTGGGGGGCCTGGATTTTCTTTTCTTTTCTTTGTGTGTGTGTGTGTGTGTGTGTGTGTGATGTGTACATACATGTTTGCATTTATGTTTGGAGGCTCTAGTTTGATAATTAAGTATCTTTCTGGTCCCAGGTGGTAGTGGCACATGACTTTAATACCAGTACTCAGGAGGCAGAGACAAGTGGATCTCTGATTTTGAAGCCAACCTGATCTACATAACGAGTTCCATGACAAGCAGGGCTACACAGAGAAACCTTGAAGAACCTTGAAAAAAAATCTTTTGGGGTCTCTCTTTCACTTTATTGAGGCAGGGTCTCTCAATCAAACCCAGAAGTCAAAGATGCAGCTGGTCTTGCTAGCTAGCTTGCTCCTGGGACTCTGTCTCTGATTTCTGAGGCTGGAATTATAAGTCCTGGGGATTCAAACTCATCCTCCAGACCGGAAACCATTTCTTTCTTTCTAAAAATTTATTTTTATTTCATGTGCATGATGTTTTGCCTGCATGCATATGTGTGTGAGGGTATTGTATCCCCTGAACTGGAGTTACAGATAGTTGTGAGCTGCAATGTGGGTGCTGGGAATTGAACCCAGCTCCTTTGGAAGAGCAGCCAGTGTTCTAAACCTCTGAGCCATCTCTCCAGCTTCGAAACCTGGATTTCTTTTTCTTTTTTCCCCTCCCTCCCCCCTTGGGTTTTCAAGATGGGCTTTCTCTGTGTAGCCCCGATTGCCCTGGAACTCACTCTGTAGACCAGGCTGGCCTAAACTTGCAGAGATCTTCCTGCCTCTGCCTTCTGAGTGCTGGGATTAAAGATGTGCACTACCACCACTGGTGAAACCTGAATTTCTTTTCTTTCTTTCTTTTTTTTCTTTTATTATTTACTTAATGTGCTCTATCTGGATGTATGCCTTAATGCCAGAAGAGGGCATCAGATCCACTATAGATGGTTGTGAGCCACCATGTGGTTGCTGGGAATTGAACTCAGGACCTCTAAAAGAACAACCAGTGCTCTTAACCTCTTGAGCTATCTCTCCAAACCTGGATTTCTAAGTGTGACTTTCCTTCCCCAACCTCCGCGTCACAGGCTCTTCTTTCGCCGTCATTACCCAGTGAACAGCATCACCTTCTCCAGCACTGACCCCCAGGACCGCAGGTGAGCCTTCCTTGGATCCCTTTCCAAGCCTGTGGTCCTCCCACCCTCAGCCCCAGCTCACCTTTCAGGAGCTGTGCCCTTGGCTGTACTCCTTCAGGGCTCTCTCTCTTTACAGATGGACCAACCCAGATGGAACCACGTCCAAGTAAGTCTCCCTGCACGCCCAACCCTGGACAGGCATGAGCTGGCCCACACGGCCAGCATCATCCTCCTGCGAAAGGGATACAAAGGCCCTCCCTGGCTTTGTCCCTGTAGGATCTTTGGTTTCGTGGCCAAGAAACCAGGAAGCCCCTGGGAAAATGTGTGTCACCTCTTTGCTGAGCTTGACCCAGACCAACCAGCAAGTGCCATCGTCACCTTCATCACCAAAGTTCTACTGGGCCAGAGAAAATGAAGGAAAGCTGCAATCTCTGAGTCCACATCAACACTGCACCCTCCCAACACCCACAGCTCTCACTGCCTTGGCCTGGACCCAGGAGCCCTAGGAGCCGGCGCCTACCCTATGAAAGAGGGAGTGGCACCAGCCTGCGCCACTGTTCTTGCCCTTGCCTGCTAAGCTGATTGAGTGGGCCCATGAGATGACCTGGCACGTGAGCAGATGGCAGAGACAGGTGTGAGGGGTGAGGCGGTATCAGTAGTGGAGGCCTGGTGGGGAATGGCTCTGCCAGCTTCACCCAGATGCAGGTCCCATCATGGAGGGAGAGGGGAGAGGCGTGGGAGCTTTTGCCTCCTCTCTGAACAGAGACCAGAGTGGGATCACATAAACAGAGGAAAAAAGAGAGTCTATTTTTGTGTAATAATAAAGAATTTCTATAAACTTTTGAGGAGTTGATTACTTCTTCATAGGAAGAAGAAAAAACGTACATCTCCCAGAGACATCCCCCTGCTGGCTTGTGACCCACAGCTGCCCTGGGGCCATCTGCCCTCAGCTGTCTCTACCTGCTCGCCGTGGCCCTCTGACTGGAAAGGATTCCCTTTCTGTCCGTCCTGATAAATATGGAAACTCCATCTTTATTGGGTGTATAAACATCTCTGGTCTGTACATACATTTCATACATCATAGTGCAGGGCCCAGAAGAAGGGGCAGAGGAGCCCCAGCAGCACAACAACACTCCCCCCAGTCCTACCCACTGTGCAAACTGAGACCAAGAGCCCCTGAAATGGGGGGAGAAACAGGGGGTTGGTTGCAGGGGAGGGGTCTATGCAGACACTAGAAGCAAACACTGAAGCAAACAGTCAACTGGCACGAGCAGCAAGCTGGGGCACAGGGTTGGGGAGTGGGCAGGGAAGGACACGAGGGGCCACGCCGCAGCTCTGAGCACAGCCTCAACACAACACAAGCCCTGGTGCCTTAGCCCCACCTCGGGAGCCAGGGCCAGGGTGCCTTGAGGAAGAGTGCAGACAAGGAGATGGGCACAAAGCTACAGTCCCATGCTACCACACGGCCAGCCTCTCACTCACGCAGGTGCTGAGCAACCTGTATGTGGTCAGAAAGGGAGCCAGGCTCAGCTTTCTGTGGTGCTTGAGTGTGGGGCGGAGCTGTCTCTCAAAGGAAAGAATGGAGACCCTAGATGTGATTTAGGACAGCAGCCAGTGAAAGAGAGATGGCCAAGACAGGCCCCCTAGCCCAGCCAGGGAAGACAGCAGCAACTGGGTGAAAAGAGATTTCAGGGGAATTATGTGGAAACAGGGACAGGCTGCCTCTACTCCACCCTCCGTCCAATAGCAGGTGGGCTTACATCTCCCAACTCTCACAGGGTCCAGTAAGGTAAAAGGAGATCCAGGTGCCCACAGACAAAGCAAGGGGGACCTTCCCATATATCAACACTGTTCTCCACCCATCCCTATCACCACAGGCTCAGGCCCAGGGACAGAAGGTCCAGCCTGACTGGGCCCTGAGCTGGTAGGGGAAGGGTGATGTCCTCCCAGGGCCTGATGTGAGCAATCCTAGGGAGACTGGAGGGAGGCTGCAGAAGGAGAGGGGCAGATGTGCAGGTGAAGCCTCTAGCCACTTAAGGGGTGCAGGTCTACTTTCACCTTCTCCCCACAACTGAGCATTCCAATGGTGGGAAAGAAGCCTCCAGAAGGCACAACGGCATCCTTCTTCCCAATGATCTTGCCATTCCGGGTGAAGAAAACCTGGTAGTGGAGGTGGAGAGAAGAGGGTGGACTCTGGTCTCTTCCCTGGGAATACCAGAGTGACTCAGCCCAACAACCCCAACTCCCACCATAGGCTTTAGAAGTCACTTGGGGTGATATGGGAAGTAACCACAAGAGGGCAGGTTGAGGCTAGGAGACAGATAGGAACTAGCCTGGGCTCTAAAGCTACTGTGAGCCTGAGCAACTCCAGACCCCACCCAACCCCTACCCCCACCTCTGCTCCTTGGTCCTGTTCTCACTGGTGGTCTGCCCCAGGACCCCAGAATGAGCCCACACTCACCACCACCTTCTTGCCCTCATGCTCCTGCTCTATCTCCTCTTCCTCTTCCTCCTCCTCTTCCTCCTCCTCTTCTTCACCTTCCTGGTGCAGGTACATGACATTTCGGACGTTCCGGACAGCCCGGGCAGTTGGGGACAAGATCACTGTGTCACAACTGTCATCACTGTCCCCTAGGAGACAGGAAACACAAGCTCCTGTGGTACTTACCGCCCACTGCCTTAAGCAGTCTGGCTGCTGTCCAACCTCACTCACCCTCACTGTCCAGAATGTAGTCCCGGGGGAACATGATTCCACAGCCCATAATGTCCCCTTTGTAACAGCGTGGCCCAAAGGGATCACCCACACCACTGCCATGGAAGATCTTCCCATCATCTGTTGAAGGGAGGAGAAAGGACACACTTGAAGGGACTAACTCTACAATCCTCAGGACAACACAAAGGTGAGAGACAGATGCAGGAAGGACAACCAGGTTTTAACAAGGAAAACAATGTCCATTTGATTGAACTGGTCAGAAGAAAGGGCAGGGCCCCTAGGGTGAATGAGCAAGCAGGGAAAGGAGGGAGGGAGGGGAGCCAGGCGCCGAGGCTCAGTATTCTTAGGAAACCCTACAGGAAATCTGAGCGATCTTCAGGAAGGGCACAGGGGAGACAAGTCAGAGGCCTGGAGTGTCCACTCTGGGCCCAGTTCTCCTGCCCTGTCCTGTGCCTCTGACTTTCAGGACTGAGAAAAAACAGGATGAAGAGAAAGCCTGAACAGCCTGGAAAAAGGAAGGAGAGAGGCCACATGGGAGTGCGCAGGAGAATGGGTGACTGTGCCCCGTATCCCCCCCAGTTTCCACATTAGCAGCTTCTACTCACCTGCATGGTACGCCACAGACCCTCTGCTCCAGCCAGGGTGCCTGTTCTTGGGATAATCCTACAGCAAGAAGACAAAAAGAGCTGGGTGTTGGTGGCACAAGTCTTTAATCCCAGCACTCTGAGAGGCAGAGGCAGACAGATCTCTGAGTTTGAAGCCAGCCTGGTCTATGGAGAGTTCCAGGACAGCCTCCAAAGTCACAGAGAAACCCTGTCTCAAAAAAAAAAAGTCTATGATATCACATGTGATGGAAGAAAGGGGCATCCAACTCTGTCACAACCCAGATGACTGGCAGTCCCCAGCCAGGAACAGGGACCAAGGAGGACAAGAAGGGGCTCGGCTTCAGGACCAGATGGGGTGACACTTAGGACACTATGTCATATGTCACAAGGTCTGCCCTCTAAACAGACACTTAGGACCAAGCTCTGCCTAAGCTCACAACTTTTCCTCTATAGCCCCTTGCCCAGGGTTTTCCAGTGCTTCCTGACCCATCCCAACATCCCCAAACTGACCCCACAGGGAAAAAGACAGCACTTGAGCCCACCTTCCTGGCCAGCCCCAAGGCGATGTAGCATTTCTCTCCAGGGTCCACGATCTCCACCTCGAAGTAATGGCTACGGGTGCTGAGTGGGTGCCGGGCCTGGGCCAGCCCCACGTCCACAATACTCTTGCCCTTCCCCAGATATTCCAGCAGCTGTGGAGAAAGAGCCAGAGGTCAGGGGTCAGGTGGATACTGCCCTGGACACTGGACCAGTTTTCTGAGTCTGACAGAATCCCCTGGCTGAATGGAAAGGGGTCCAAAAGGCAAAGTGGACTCTAGTTCTAGTTAGGCAGAGGACAAGGGTGGCAGAGACGATGGTTAGTGTGAGATGCCACTGTCTGGGAAGCTCACTGGGGGTCTTTAGGCTGGAATGTCCATTCTCTGGAAAGCCTGAAGCCTGCCTTCCTTCCTGGAAGAGGGAAGAGGACAAGGGGTATGCAGAAGTTAGGAGCCAACTACAGATATATGAGGGAGAGGACAGGTTCAGAGCCAATTCTGTACAGAGGAGACATAGTTTCTCAAGACCTGTTCTACTTGGCCCTAAACTGAGCCATTCAATATCGCTGGGTCAGGGAGGTACTCAAGGGAGCCAAGAACCTACAGACAGCAACCCTACCCTTCATTTTACATGGGGCAAAGGTCAAACTAAAGACAAAAGGCAGGTCTTCCAGTTTTCAACCCTCACTCAGGCAGGAGTTGGCTGTGAAGGTGAAGGGAGATGAGCACAGGCTCTGGGGCCCTTCAGTCCCACACGGTCTTCCTGCATACAACAGTGCAACAACCCCATTCTGGAAGCCTTACCTATCAGATGTCATGGTAACAGTGGAACTATGACTCAACCTCATCTCCTCTTTCACTCACCTAGTATCACCTAGGATTCCTTAATTTCCTTTTAATTAACCTAACTGCCCCTTAAAACTTTCTTCTACTATCCAAGATCTGTAGTCCTTAAAAAAAAAAAAAAAAAAAAACACTCCCTGGGGCCTCCTCCACTAATCCCTAGCAAACTTAAAACAATGGCCTCACCCCACTAACATTCCTGCCTGAACTGGCCTGCACCAGCACAAAGGCCTGGGGACATCTCCTGCAGAAGTCAGCCTGACTCATCTCCCTTCAGAGTGGACCAGAAGATCCACTCCCCTCAGCTCCAGAACCTCCAAGTCTACCTTCCTGCACTCTAAAGACAAGAGAGGACAGATGGAGAACGCCAGAGGTGCACAGGAGCCACGAGGTCCACACGCAGACCCATCATGTGTTCTGTCTGTAGCCCTTAGAGTGCTCCCCGCCTGGCTCTGCTCAGTATCTCTCCCCAGTGTTTATTAACCTCATCTATCAAACAGCCTATGATCCACTATCTCCACCCAGTACTGCAGAGCTGGATCAGGAACCCCACAGCTGCCCTTGACCCATCCTATCCAATTGGCCTCTATGTTGGAAACAGGGTGTTCTCTAGTTCCATGGCCAAAAGGCAACAGATCCAGATCCCAATCCTTGGGAAAAACCCGCCCAACCATTCCCTGGCCTCAGCCCACAGAGGGCAGTGGCTGGGGCTCTACTGACAGGGTGGGGATATTTCGTGAGGGGGCAAGAGGCCATGAGGATGACCTGCCCTGACATGGAACTTCAATCCACACCCACGGGCTCCTGAAGAGCACTGAGATAGTCTGCTGACATTCCAGCCCTAAGCAACAGGCCCTCTTCAAGAACTGAGTCATTCCATCTCAGGACTGCCACCCCATATCATAGGCTGCTCTCCTGTTCCCAGCAAGCCCTTCTGAGCCTTCAACATGGACAGGCCAAAGCACGGGGTCACTTCCCTGGCAGATCCTGACTGTTGGGAACCTGGAGGTTTGGCTTCGAGAGCCTCAGTTGTCAGGAACTGTGGGTTTGGTCCTGTAGGCTATGCCTTGGTTGCCTCTTAGTTTGAAAGACCAAGTTCAAACCCTAACTAGTATTGCTTAGCTGCCATCAAGCTTGAACATTGTATACTCATTGTATATTCATCTAAGAAAAAAAGCCTTAATGTCTTCATCAGTAAAATGGGGATAAAATACTACTTGTAGCTTCAAAAACAGTAAAAAGACAAGGTGAAGTGAGTGACCAGGGCATCAACGGAGCCTGCCAAACTCAGTTGATGGAAATGCACATTTTGTCAGGAAATGGGAACTGGTTATAGTACAGCTACCAACCACAATGGACATGACCGTTCAGCCTGTACTCCCCACTAGAGCAACAAAGAACCCCAAGGCCAACCACGATGGATATTTGTGGTGCTGGGTATCAAACCCAGGAACTGCACCATGAGAGTTCTACCACTAAGATAGCTACAGCCCCAATTATCCCCCTGTGCTGAGGGTAGAGGGAATCCTTTCCATAAACGCAAGTACACCACCACCACCACCAGTCCCCCGTTACAGGGGACTGCAGACCATCACCCATCCCCTATTACAGGGGACTGCAGACTGAGTACTTAGTTGGAGTTACAGATCCGAATTGTCTGCACTCCAAGCACTCCTCACTCTTCTCTTTTGTTGATTCCCACACTCTCACTGCTGGCCAGAAGACACTAACTCTCAACAGGAGCAAGCCTGGAGGGCCCAGAAGTAGCTGAAACAGGAATCAAGTACAAGCTCCCAGCTCAGGCTGTAACACAGCCTCCTCCTGGGTCTAGGGAGGACCTTCTCCTTTTGTGTACCAAAGCTGCCACTGTAAGGAGTGTCAAGAGCCATAGGCAGTGAACATAGACAAGATTAGTCTAATGCAAATGTACAGACAACTCCTATAACCCTCTCCACACATGATCTCACTCTGGAGGCCCTAGGGACAACAGCAGTTCTTCAACATCTTCAGCTCTCTGGGGCAATGGAAGCTAGGACATCTTTAAAAGGAGGGAAAACTGAGGCTTCAGACAGTAGGGAAAAAACTCACTCAAAAAAGAGCTACAACTGGGGCTGAAGATCTAGATGGCTCAGTGTTAAAAAGCACTTACTGCTCTTCCAGAAGACGGAGGTTTGGTTCCTAGAAACTACATGTTAGTTCACAACCACCTGTAACTACAGTTCAAGGGAATCCATTGCCTTGTATGACCTCCAAAGGCAGCAGACACACATGGTACACAATATACATGCAGGCAAAACACCAAGAAAGGCAAACAGGCAGGCAGGCAGGTTGATTGGAACTGTAGCTCAGGTGGCAGTATCTGCCTAGCATTCATGAAGTCCTGGGTTCACTCCCTAGCCATCATATAAAGCAGGTATGCTGATGATCCCAGCACTCAGGAGGTAGAGGCAGGAGACAAGTCAAGGCCGGCTTCAGCTATATAGCATGTTCAAGGTCAGCCTGGGTTACATGAGATGCTGCCTCCAGAAAAGAAAAAAGGAAGAACAAGGACTACTCCTGACCAACAAAACACTGCATGCAGTATGCTGCAGAGCACCAGCTGACTCCTCTTGTGTTAGCATTGACTGGAAGCTGTAGCTTCCTGTCAGTGCCCAATACCATTGCCTTGGTACTAGATCAAAATTCAAAAATCTACTTTTCCCCCTTTGTAGTACTAGGGATTAAATGAACTGAGGGCTTCATGCATGCAAGGCAAGTGTTTGACCACTGAGCTACCTCAAAATTCAAAACCTGAAGTACAGCCTAGCAGGGTGACAAATGCTTTTAATCTCAGCATTCAGGAGACTGAGGTTGGAAGAACCTTGTGAGTTCAAAGCCACCCTGGTCTACACTGAGTTCCAGGCTAGCCAGGGTTACAAAGTGAGACCCTGTCTAATAATAATAACAATAATAATAAAATTTGGACTATTGATGAATCTTAAGTTAGGGACCATCAGTATTAAACTGTCAAAAAGACCACATATAAGTCAAGGAATGACTATCTGGGCCTACTTTTCGTTTTCATTGGCTATTTGACAATCTGAGCAAGTCCCTTGGCTCTTCTCTGGGACTGTTCTTTACATAAGAGGATGTTTGGAAATGTGAGTGCATATGCTGGGCATCATAATATTGTTAATAACTTGTGTTTGGATGCTAAAGATGCTAATTGTCCTGCACATGAAAAACTGTCCTGGGCTGGCAAGATGACTCAGCAGGTGAAGAGATTTACTGCCAAGCCTGATGACCTGAGTTGGACCCCCAGGACCCACATGGTGGTAAAGAAAATTATTCCTGCAAATTAAGTTCTGATCTCCATATGCATGCCAAGTACACACACACACACACACACACACACACACATGAATGAATAAATATTAAAAAAAAAACTGTCCCAACTGAAATACTACTATGTCCTTCTGAAAAACTTTAGATTAGTTCAGATTTGAGGCCTTCCCAAATCTCCATGATTCTGGGGCACCCTACTGAGACCACCTTCCATGCAGAAAAAGGCCTTGGGTCCAAGAGCTGGTCCCCAACAGCAAGTGATATAAAAAAAAACAAGGGCAAAGAATGAAAATATATGCTAGTCATCTTTAGAGGGATGAACTCTCCTTCCAGGACAACACAGCTCTGATCAGAAACATAGAAGATGAAAGAAATTGGGTAAGTTATCTTCATTTGAAAGATGGGACAACTGGCAACCCTAGGGCTGGAGAGATGGCTAAGGGGGTAAAGGCACTTACTGCCAATTGACCACTAAAGTCCGGTTTCTGGAACCCACATGATAGAGGGAGAAAACCAGCTCCCATGTTTGTCTTTTAACCTCCACATGCATGGGTGTATGCATGCACGAATACACACACACACACACACACACACACACACACACACACTTAAACAAGTAAATGTAATAACAGATACACCACAGAGGCTGAGGTAGGAGGACTACCCAAAGTTCAAGGCCAGCCTGAGCTAAATAGTGAGTTCCAGGGCAGACTGACTACAGTATGAGACTGTCTCAAAACAAAGAGCTGTCCAAATCCACTGCAGAGGAGCCTGCGCTTACGGAACAGTGGATTTACCCTGCCAGCAGTCCTAAACTGAGGTGAGAGTTTAAAAACAGCCAAACAAACTCTACAGCTACACTTAACGGAAAAAAGTTCCTAAATGAGTGAACTGAGGATGCTGAGGGGAGGGAAGGAAGGAAGGCTATTTATAATGTCTACAAGATTCCACCTCGATTAGAAAAGATGCCTGGGAGGGGCTGGGAGTAGAGTGGGGACAGGTCCAGGCAGGGAAAGGATGCCAGGAAAACATGTGAGGAGCGGTCAGAGATGAGAGCTGGAACATGGCTCTGGCTCAGATCCAAGTTCAACTCTGTGGATGTTGTCAAAACGATGGCAGAAGGGGGAGAAAAAAGCAGTGAATCAGGGAGTGAACATCAGAGGCCTCGGCTCACAATCACCTCAGCCCTCAGACCCCTGGGCCAGAGAGAAGCAGGTCATCAGAACAACAGGAGGGTGCACAGTCTGCCATGTTCTCTGAGTTCAATTTACCTTGAGCTCCACAAGGAAAGGCCTTGTTCAGAACCCACTTTCACCCCGCAACAGCTTCTGTTTTCCTATCTCAGGCTAATTTGAAAACAGCCTGAGTTGAGGTGAGAAAGCCAAAGGCCAGGATGGGAGGAAGAAGGCAGCAGAGAATTATTCTAAGTAGGAGGATTGAACGTCTAGCTATGATCCCCAAAACTGGGTCTGCATACAGGCCTGTAATCTCTACTACTTGGAAGGCAGAGACATGTAGATTCTAAGTTCAAGACCTGCCTAGGTTTAGAGAGACTGAGTTCAGATACCAGCCAGGGCAGCTTAGTTAAGAAGACCTATCTCAGCCGGGCGTTGGTGGAGCACGCCTTTAATTCCCAGCACTCAGGAGGCAGAGGCAGGCGGATCTCTGTGAGTTCAAGTCCAGCCTGGTCTACAGAGTGAGTTCCAGGACAGGCTCCAAAACAATACAGAGAAACCCTGTCTCGAAAAAAAAAAAAACAAAAAAAAACAAAAACAAAAAAAGAAGACCTATCTCAAAAAGATAATAAAAGAGCTACAGATACATACAGTTCAATGGGACAAGACTTGTTTAGCATGTGCAGTGTTCTATGTTCAATAACCAGCAATACACACACACACACACATGCCCCTACCACCACCACCCACAACAACAACAACAACAACAAAACCCAACTGTTGTGGTATAATCTTTTTGTATGCTATGAAAATGTGTCTCTGTCAAGGCACCTTCTGACTGGTTTAGTAAAGAGATGAATGGCCAATAGCTAGGCAGGAGAGGATAGGAGGGACCTCCAGGCAGAGAAAGGAACTATCTCTGGAGTTCAAAGATGATGGAATCAGAGAGGTAGAAATTCACCAGTGAGATGTGAATGTACAGTATGGAAGAGAAGTAACAAGCCACATGGCAGAATGTAGATTAATATAAATAGGTTAATTTAAGTTTTATGAACTAGCAGGGAACAGGAAGCCTAAGCTAAGGCCAAGCCTTCATAATTAGTAAGTTTCCATTTCATTATTTGGAAGAGAAGGTCTAACTACCCCAAACTCTTAGCATCTTCTCCAATATTTGTTCCTCAGTTCTTTTTTTTTTTTTTTTTTTTTTTTTTTTTTTTGGTTTTACGAGACAGGGTTTCTCTGTATTTGTTCCTCAGTTCTATGACTAGAGAGTCCAGTTGAGTTGAATCAAGCCAAAATGGAAGCATAAGAAGTGGGTTTCCAAATCAATTCTCAAACACTGAAGAAAGAGAACCCCCCAAATGAGAGCTTCTACTTATTCTGGGAATCAACAACCAATCTGAGTTCCCAAATGAAGGGGAAAGAAGGAAGAGAATTACGCCCAGAACACAGGTTTAGAATCCAAGAACTATGTCAAGGAGGCCTCAGGTTATTCTACCCAAACTTCCACTTCCCAAAGTCACACAAAAGCCTCTGTCCTGGGTGCAGTGGTGCAAGACTGACACTCAAGAGACTAAGGTGGGCAGAATGCAAATTCAAGGCCAAGCAACATTCCTGAGATATCTCAAGATAAAGAAAAGAAAGAACCAGGCATGTTGACATGCCTTTAATCAAAGCACTCGGGAGGCAGAGGCAGGTGGATCTCTGTAAATTCCAGGTCAGCCAGGGCTACAGCATGAGATCTTGTCTCAAAGAAAGAATGGAGTGAGGGAGAGCAACACTCTTCCTCCTCCTCACTCTAAGCAACACTGATGTGCTGCATGCCCACGTGTTCTGTCCAGCCCATTTACCCTCATTGCCCTTTACTTACAGTCCCACAGACTCTGACATCATGCAGTCGGCCCCATTCATCTTCATAACTGTCCACCATCATGACGCTGTCATCCTCACGGCCCAGCTCAGCGTTGAGGTGCAGCCTTACCTCCTCACCCAGGGAATGCATACCAACTGCTGGGAAGAGCCCATCTGGGGACATGGGCATGATGGTGGAGCCCACCTGCAGCACAAGGAGAGAGAAGGGAACTAACTGCCATGTGGTTCGCTTTCCCATAGTTCATCCAGTTCTCACAAGGGCACTTCCAAGATGATGCAACCAACAATTATCATATACACATTCACAGATATAAAAAAACAGAGTTTAACAACTGTTAATTACTCCTTGCCAAGCACATTACATGGAGCTAGAAGTCAAGCCTCAGTCTCCAGACTCGCAGCCAAGTACTCTGCAAACACCTGTGTAATTGTCACAGCAACACCAACGCACATCTGCTAAGTCTGCAAAGGGAGTCAACCTCTTGCCTGTCTTGAGAAGCAATCTTCCCCCACCAGAATGGAAGGAAGGAAGAAAAGGGAGACAGTTACATGTCTCTCCATCTCTTGCCAAAGTCACCATCTCTGAAGAGAAAGGATTCTCGGAGTGAAAGAAAGAAAAGAAAACCAAAGGACATATTGCCCCCAAAGTTCAAACCAACCCAAAGTCCTGCAGCTGACACAGCACAGATGCCCTGGAACTAGAGTTACAGACAGTTGTGATATGCCATGTGGGAGCTGAGAATTGAGCCTGGGTCCTCCGCAGTGCTCTTAACCACTGAGCCTTCTCTTCAACCCCACTTTTTACATTTTTATTGTTCGAGAATTTTATACATGCATATTATGTGCTTTGATCAAACCTACCCCCATTCCCTCCCCTCCAATTTCTTCCCTACCACACCCCCAACCAACTCCTAACTTCATGTATTTTTTTAAACCCACTGAGTTTATCGTTGCCTATATGTACAAGGGTGTAGAGTCATCTATTGGAGCATGAGTAGCCTCTGAGGGCCACATCCCTAAAAGAAAACTTTTTTTTTTGGTTTTTTTTCAAGACAGGGTTTCTCTGTATTGTTTTGGAGACTTCCTGGAACTCACTCTGTAGACCAGGGTAGCCTTGAACTCACAGAGATCCACCTGCCTCTGCCTCCCGAGTGCTGGGAATAAAGGCATGCGCCACCAACGCCCAGCTAAAGAAAACTTTTTTTAAAGATGCTGCCTTATGAAAAAAAAAAAAAAAGATACTGCCTTATGTAACCCAAACTGTCCTTGAACTCACTCTGTAGCAAGAATGATTTGGAACTCCTGATCCTCCTGCCTCCACCTCCTGAGTGCCCCAGGCACCCTGTTTATGTGGTGCTGGGAAATGAATCCAGAGCTTCGAGCATGCTAATCAAACACTACCACCTGAGCTACATTCACAAACTCCTTCCCTCCTTTTGTTTGTTCAAAGCCTTCCTCCAAATCATGTTTCTGCCCCTACAGGGAAGTGTCTACACACACACACACACACACACACACACACACACACACACAGAACTGCCTGAGGCTAGACAGGCAATGGGAACAAAACCATCAGACTCTCCATGGTCACTCTCACAGATCCTCAGGCAGAGTAAAGTCACTGAACCCTCTAAGACAGGGTTTCCCACTCACCCGTTTCCCATTTTTGGTAAAGAAGATCTGGGCAGTCTGCACATCAAAGGACACAGGCTCAATGCCACAGCCAATCCGGTCCCCAGAATTGCACTTGGAGCCAAACTGGCGGCCCTTGGCTCGGCCATTGTACAGTCTATGGAGAGAGGGCACAAGACAGAGAACTATGGTACCTGCTCTTACTCCTCCACTCTTGATAGCATCCACCTGTGTCCTGGTATTTGGGTCACCCTCTCTGACACCCACACACCTGCAAGGGTGCCTCACCTAATTAAGCTTATGAAAAAAACCCAAGAAAGGAAGTAGTGGAGAAAACCATTCAGAGGTGGCTTATCCTCCACATCTAGACTTCAACTCCACAGCAAAGGACTACTCACTTGCCATCATCAGCATGGTAGGCTACAGAGTCAGGCAACCAGCCAGGCTGGTGATCCAAGCTGTAGTACTGAGGGACCAGCCCCACAGCAATGGTGCCCCGGACACCACTGTCCACAATAGATACCTGGAGGGAAGAGAGCAGGATACAGTTCACAGTTCACAGGGACAGAAAACTGAATGAACTTTTGGAGTGATCAAAGGTGGGTTTATGCTCAAAGAGACCTGGGGGATGAAGAGGGTAGGACCTGCCAGGGAGAACAGGGAGGGCAGAGGCCCCTTTCTTGTGATTACTTAGGCAATCATTCTTGAGCCTTAGTTGGGCATGATGGCTCACATCCTTAATCCCAGCACTCCAGAGGCAGAGACAGGTGATAGTTCCAGGCCAATCTGGTCTACATAGATATGCAGAGTCCCAGGGCAACCAGGGCTGCACAGGGAGATCCTGTCTCAAAAGAGAAAAAAGAAGAAGAAGGGACAGGGAGCTTGAGAGCTGACTCAGCAGTTATGAGTCCATACTGACCTAAGTTTGGTCCCCATGATCCACATCGGGTGGTTCACAACCACCAGTAACCCCAGCTCCTTGCTGCCCTGACACTTTTAACGTGTAGCCTCTATGAGCACTACACTCACTGCACATACCCACACTGGGCATTTATAATTATTAATAACAACAATAATAGTAAAAAGTTAGGCACAGAATCAATTCTGGGCATCTATTAGGGTAGCAGTTCTCAGGGATCAAGTGACCCTTTCACAGGGGTCACCTAAGACCATCAGAAAACACAGATATTTATATTACAATTTAAACAGTAGCAAAATTACAGCTATGAAGTAGCAATGAAAATAATTTTATGGTTAAGGGTCACCACAGCATGAGGAACTGTATTAAAAGGTAGCTGAGAACCACTGTAGTAGGAGCTAGGAAAATGAGATATGGGTCAAAGATCAAGATTCAGGCTGTCCTACACCCTTCTTCCAAAAGAAAACTGATGGAAATTTTAAAAGGCCAGGTCATACATTCAGGAGATGAACTCCTTGGAGAATGACGTATTCACTCCTCATCGCCAACCCCATCACCATACCCCGGCTCCCCAACTCTGCCCAAATACTGCTTGATCACCTCAAAATAATTGCTGTCCTTGGTCAGGGGTCGAGACGCCACATAGCAGCCAACTTCACCAGAATTTCCATGGTAACTAAAGGAATATGGAAAAATTCTATGAGCAGGCAAGCCCAGGGGTTGGGAGGAAGCCCTAACACTCCAAACCCCAACCTTGTGAGGGCCAGCACAGTGAACTCATCAAGGCATACTTCATAAAATCAGCATATAGTCAGGCATGGCAGCACACACATTTAATCCCAGCACTTGGGAAGCTGTAGTAGGAGGCTTTCTGAGTTCGAGGTCAGCCTGGTCTACAGAGTGAGTTCCAGGACAGCCAGGACTACACAGAGAAACCATGTTTTGGGAAACGAGAGAAAGAGAAAGAAAGAGAGAGAATGAGGGAAGGGAGGGAGGGAGAAAATCTGTGTGCGCACACACACATAAGGTACTTAAGGTCACCCACTCTTCTCACTGTGTCTAGCCAAGGTCCAATCCACACTAGATCAATACCGTCTAGCTTCTTCATTTGGAATGTACAGCCTCCCTTAATAGTGTTTTAGGGGGTCCCACAGTCTTATCTAACATCAATCCCTCCCTCGTGTTGTAACTTTGGCCTTGCCTTCAGCCCTGTCCTCAGTGGACCTAGAGAACAGGACTTCAGACTCAATCCCCATGTTTCATCTTTCTTCCCCTCTGGCTAAATAATGCTACTTCCTTTCTCCTTTAGATGATAACTGTGCAAGAGGCAGGGAGGAGTCAGGGAAGGTTCAAGACAAAAGAGAAACATACACACCAAAGAGCTAGAAAGACACAGAGTGGGTGATTATAGAACTGGCACTCCCCAGGCACTCCCTGCTGAACCCAGTCTTTGAAATACTGACACAAGGGGACTCAGACCACACAGATTCACTGTCATGGCAGCCTCCTACACCTGCCATGGGAACTTCCAAATCAGAACAGCCTTTCTGGATCCTTTCCTTCACAGATCAGAAGATGGTGAGCCAAATGGCTGAGGTGGTACATGCCTGTAACCCCAGCTTTTGGGAAGCTGAGAAGGAGGACTGCAAGTTTTAGGACAGCCTGCCCGCCTCAAAAGCAAAACAAAACACAGACTAGTGTGTATAAAGCACTTGCCTAATAACTAGAATCAGATCCCTAGGTCCCACCTGATCTAAGATCAACCTCCTCAAGTTGCTCTTCAACGACCATGCCCCAATACACTAAATAAATAAATAAATAAATAAATAAATAAATAAAGCAACCTGAGTGATCCCATGGCAAGAGGCAGAAAGGAATGCACAAGGGCCAACAGGGTACACCTCACAGTGTAGCATATACAGTATCCTGGTTAAGACCAGGAAAGGACTGGACAAGGACAATGAGGAACCATTTCCCTACACTCACCTCAAAGTGTCACCATCCACAAGGATATGTTTGAACCTCTCCTGATATCGGAAAGCCCGGACCTCTCGAATCTCCCGAATCCTCCTTCTCCAATTCAGAAACCGGTAGTGCAAGTTGAGGTCATCCATCTTGTTCATGAGAACAAACCTATGAGAAGAGAAATGACTGAGAAGGAAGTGGGGCTCAGCACAGAGTACCTCAAGCCTGCTCAATCTTGGATGTGCACAGTGTTCCAGACTTGAGGCTAGATGTCCAGATGCATCTCAATGACTCCAGCCTCAGCCACTCAGTCAAAAGATATGCACTGTCACCGAAGCTAGGAACAAAGCTATACGCAAGATAGATGGGATCCATGATCTCATAGAGTCTCCAGTCTCATTGGGCATAAGGAAGCATAGCAGATAATGAGCAGCACAAATGGACATTTTAGTTATTGGAAGCAAAAAAACAAAACATGGAGATGTAACAGTGGACAAGGACAGTCTCAGAGGTACAGCATGTTATCTGAACAGAGGCAGGCAATATGAGAGTACAGCAAAAACCATTCCAGGCAGAGGAACAGTCATGGAACAGGTCCTTGGGTAGAAGAAGGGTTGATGGTAGAGAAAGACAGAAGGTCAGAGGGGCTGGAACACAGGGAAGGTGAGTAAGAATAGGATAGGCAAGAGGCTATCCTGTCAGGGGTTTACACTTTATTTCAAGGGTAGTGAGAAACCTCTATGGAATTTTAAGCAAGAAATGGTATGATTTTAAAATATATCAAATCTTGCTGGGTATGGTGCTACTAGTCTTTAATCCTGGCAATGTTTAAACTTTTTTATTATATTTATGTGTATGGGTGTTTTCCTGCATGTATGTCTGCCCATACTATATATGCCTGGTGTCTTTAGAGACCAGAAGAGAACATCAGATCCCCTAGAACTGTAGTTACAGACACTTGTGTGTTACCCATGTGGGTGCTGGGAACTGAACCCTGGATCCTCTGGGAGAGAAGCCAGTGCTTTTTCTTAGGGGGGGGTAGTTCGGTAGTTCAAAACAGGGTTTCTCTGTGTAGCCCTCCTGTCCTGAACCTCACACTGTAGACCAGGCTGGCCTTAAACTCAGAGAGCTACCTGCTTCTGTCTCCCAAATTCTGGGACTAAAGGTGTACACAGCCACTACTACCCAGCATGAAACCAGTGCTTTTTTGCTTGTTTTGTTTTTGAGACAAGGTGTCTCCATTTAGTCCTGGCTGTCCTGGAACTCACTCTGAAAACCAGGCTGGCCTCAAATTCACAGAGATCTGCCTGCCTCTGCCTCCCAAATGCTAGAAAAGCATGTGCCACCACAACCTGGCAAGCCAGTGCTCTTAACCACAAGCCATCTCTCCTTCTCATAATACCAGCACTTTTGTTTTGTTTTTGTGACAGGGTTTCTCTGTGTAGCCCTGGCTGTCCTGGAATTCACTCTGTAGACCTGGCTGGCTTCCAACTTGCAGATATCTCTCTGCCTCTGCCTCCTGAGTGCTGGGATTAAAGTCATGTGCCACCAGCACCTGGCAATCGTTTCTAACACTTTTAATCCCAGGCAGAGGCAAACAGATCTCTGAGTTCTAGAGCAGCCTGGTCTATATAGCATGTGCCAGGCCAGCCAAAGCTACAGAGTGAGGCTTTGTCTCAAACAAAAGAAAAAAGAACTTATCAGATCTTAACTCTCATTCCCAACTGTAATTGTGACAGCAGTTTAGGGGATGGCAGCCACCAAAATGGTAGCAATGGAGGAGAAAAGGAATGGGGACTCTCTTGGCATTTAGACAACCCTCAAGGCAAATGAATGACGGAATAAAATTTTCCAGAGAGTCAAAAGTGGGAAAACGATGAAGAAATCTTTTCTTTCCATTCCCCAAACACCTGACACAGTACCCCCTCCTCCCGTCTGCCCCCAAACACACACAGTAGGCGCTTAGCAATCCTAGGCTAAGCTGAGTTCGATTCAAGTGCGCACACCAGGACTCTTCTGAAGGAGCCACAGACCACCACATGCTCCAGACGAAGGCACCTGTGGCACTGCACCAGCATGCCCCTCCTGGGCCCTGGTCCAGGACTTGAACCCGGGCAGAAGCTGGAGCCCCAGACTTGAAGACACCTGATCTTCGAGAATCCGACAGCCTCAGCACCGACCAGCAGCAGCACCCGCGCTGGGTCCCGGCGCTGCCTCAGCACCGTCGGGTCACTCAGATGAGACCCAGGGGCCAGCCGGCCTTCACCTGTCAATGCGGCTACGCCCGGTCTCCACAGGCCCCGCACTAGGGGAGGGTGCGCGCCAGGAGGACCACTAGTGACCAGAACCCCAGGCCCCGCCCCTGAGCCCGGAGCCGTCTTCCAGGACCCCCGCCTCGAGCTCTGCAGAGACCGAGGCCTCCGGGACCCCGCCCCCGATCCCCGCCTACCGGGGCCGCCGCGTCCTCCTCATCCATAGGCCTCTCAGCTCCGCGCTGTAGCTCTTCGGCCGCCGCCACCACACACATCCGGGTCCCCGCCCTTCCTATGCTCCGCGAGGCCCGCCCCCTATGCCGGATCTGCCCAATAGTCAGCGGTCTTTGTAGACGGGCATCCACATCAGCCAATCACAGGGCTCGGGCGGTGTGGGGCGCGGCCCGGTGAGCCGGCTACCTAATACTCGGCGGCGTCTGAGGAACCTTGGTGTTGGGAGGGTGGGGGAGGCGACGTGGCGACACGAACGCCACCGTGGGCGCCAGGAGCTCGGGGAGGCGGTCAAGGGGCGGCTCCCTTGAGGCGGAGCGGGTCACTGTGCACGCGCCAGCGTCACCGTAGTATAGCAAGGAGTGACGCTAAAAGCCTTACTGGAACGTCCTTATGATCCACGTAACAGCCTTGGGGGGGGGGGAAATAAATCTTAAAATTATCTCCTTTTTACGCTTGAGGAACCAGAGGCCGAGCTCCACAGCGGTCGCACTCAGCCGATTCCTTATGTTTTCTTCTCTCCAGAGCACCACTTTGCACCACATTCGCTCATTCCAGGAAGGACGTTCCAGAACAGGAGAGAACTTCAGATGCAAAAAGCACAGTGAGATGATAGCCAATGCTGTTTGGGAACAGAGGGCTTGGAAGGAAAGTTAGGTCAGGTCAGAATATCCTGCCCTTGGGAAGAATTGGGCGTGACGTCCATGTCTTGCCCCAAGACTGAATACTCTCTCCAGATAGACTCAGCCTGTCTTGAGTACCCTGTGTCAGAAACATGAACAAACATACTTGTGTCTTTCAACATCTGAAATGATTGAATAGCAATAAATTAACAAGCTATCTCGGTCTCATTGGTCTCAATTGGCTACTTAGTCCTGATTTACATGAATAACAGACTTTTAGCTAGCACAGGTTCTTTTACTTCAATATTAATCACTAACTCTTTTTTAAAACTATTTATTAACTTTATTTTATTTGCATCGGTATAGAAGGTGTCAGATCCTCTGAAACCAGAGTTACAGACAGTTGTGAGCTGCCATGTGGGTGCTGGGAATTGACCCTGGGTTCTTTGGAAGAGCAGCCCAGTGCCTTTAACCTCAGAACCATCTCTCCAGCCCCCGTCACTAAATCTTGGGTCACACAGTACACATCATGTGTGTGCATGTGTAGGTTATACTGTGGCTAAAAGGGTTAAAGAAACCATAGCATAATTCAAGAGTGCTGAAGCCTTGCTAAGAGCTGATAGGTTAAGGCAAAGTTGCTGCAGCCAGAGAACAAACCCAGCTAGAGAGCTGCTAGAGATAGGTGGCCACAGCTGCTGCTTCAGAGCCAAGCAGCAGGTCACAGGCCTGAGTCCAGCCTCAGAGGCAAAATACAGGACTGGAAACGGTTTCATCAGCAGTGGAGATGAGCTGAGTGAGCTGAAGCCCCCGAGACAGTCAGGATTTCTCGGTTGTCCTTTGAGGCACACGCACACAGGGTGGGCAGTGCGATGGGGACCGTTGTCATCACAGTGTTAGATGTCCTCCTCATTATGGGGTCCAACTGAGGGTGTTGCACCCTTTCTAGGATTGATAAGTTCTTGAGCCTGCTGATACCTACTGAGCATATGTTCTCAATCTATCATACTTGGATACATTTATAGGCTGGTACCTTTTTACTTTTTTAAAATCAATTTATTTTATGTGCTTTGCCTGCATATACATCTGTGCACCATGTGTGAGAGTTACAGTTGATTAGCTGCTGTGTGGAGTCTGGGTATTGAACCTTGGTCCTCTGGAAGAGCAGTCAGTACTCTCAACGGCTGAGCCATCTCTCCAGCACAGCATTTTCTCGTAGGAATAAATTATCAGTCTAGGTCTCATGGGTGGTGCTAATGGTGTGCATGTGCATAGTCATCATGCCTCTGCAATCAAGCTAGAGCCAACTACTGCTTGTAGGAGTCAAGACGAAGCCTGAAAGCCACTGTTTTACACAGCAGACAGTAACTTAAAGGCAACTGCAGCCTAATCCCAATGCCCTCTTTTGCAGTACCTCGTTCATTTACTTTTTAAAATGTCAGGTGTGGTGAAATGCACTTTTTTGTTAAATATTTACTCATTTGTTTACTGGAGGTGGTTGGGAGTGCATGCCTGACATGGCCTAAGTGTATAGCTCAGGGGACAACTTGCAGGATTTGATTCTTTCCTTCTACCAGGGGGGTCCTAGGAATTAACTCAGGTCTTCAGGTTTGACAACAAATGCCTTTACCCTCTGAGTCATGTCACCAGGTCCAGCAGCTCATTCATGAAAGTCAATTGTGTGTATTGCTGTGTTTCATCTCCTTTAGAGCTCAGACTAATCCCATCTTATTCTAACTAGATACTCTAAAGTGCTAGGTGGGCAGAGGACTAGGGATGTAGCTCAGCTGGTAGAACACTTACCAGACAAGGGCAAGGTCCTAGGTTCAGTTCCCATACTGGCCAAAAAAACAAAAGCTAACTACTGTGGTTAGAGATCTGGCTTACTACTAGTAAAGTGCTCTTGCCTGGCAAGATCAAGCTCAAGGCTCTGGGTTCAAAGAAAAAGAAAATAAAAAGAAAATTGAGTATCCCTGGCTGCCCTAGAACTCGCTAAGTAGATCAGGATGTCCTGTAACTCACAGAGCTGCCTGCCCCTTCCTCCAGAAAGCTGAATTGAAGGTGTATGCCGTTAGTCCTGTTTAATTCTTTCACTATCCCTACAGAGCCCCCCTACTGAGATTAACCAGTCCACCACCGGGTACAGTAATAAACCTCCTGAAGGAGTGAGAGGGGAGTTAGGGATAGGTTTGATCTATGTATGTGTATATAAAAATTGTCAAAAAATAAATAAAGGGTTGGAGAGATGGCTCAGTGGTTAAGAGCACTAACTGCTCCTCAAGAGTCCCCCGGTTCAATTCCCATCATCCACATGGAGTTCATGACTGTCTGTAACTCCAGTTCCAGGGGATCTGGCACCCTCACCCATACATCCAACCAAAACACCAATGCACATAAAATAAATAAATCTTTTTTTTTTAATCGAGGATCCCATCATTGGACTGGGCTGTATGTTTTTAGCTCTCTGAAAATTTTTTAAAAGAGAAGACAAAATGTTGGCATAATCACAATAGTGACCATGTCAACAGTCCCAAAGGTCTCCTTGTACCCCATTTGCAATCTCTCCTTTCATCACCACCCTCCTTCTCAGAATACCACTCATCTGCTTAAAAAATTATTATATGGCTGGGCAGTGGTGGTGCACGCCTTTAATCCCAGCACTCAGGAGGCAGAGGCAGGCGGATCTCTGTGGGTTTGAGGCCAGCCTGGTCTACAACGGGAATTCCAAAACAGCCTCCAAAACTACACAGAGAAACCCTGTCTCAAAAAAGAAATACTATATGTATTTTTTATTCATTCTGAACATGTGTTTATATGTGTATTGCACGTGCACATACATACACAAATGCACTGTGGATCTGCAAGGTCAGAGGACAACTTGCAGGAGTCGATTAGTCCTTCAAACATTGGGTCCCAGGGATAGAACACAGGTGGTCAGGATTGGCAGCAGGTGTCTTTAACTGCTGAGCTATCTCACTGGCCCTGCATTTTCTAAAAATTTATACAAGAGAAATCAAACACTAAATGCTATTTTTGGTGGGCTGTGTCTGCTTTCTTTCACTCAGCACAGTTATCTTGAGATTTATCCATGTTGTACAAGTCTTTGTAAACACAATTTCAATTACTGTAACAAATGACAGATAAATTAAGAAGAGGATGGCAAAGATGTGTTACTTTTGTTTATGCTGCAGTGTCATGACCACCTCGACCAGCAAGGAAGACACGACTCAGGAATCCTTCTCACAAGCAGTTTATTTAGGACCTTGAACAAATCTTCTGACCCCAGGGAGTGCCCGCCCACAGCTTAAAAAGGCCCTTGGGCGGCCAACCCCGGTAAGCCATGTGGCGACAGCAGATAGGTCCACATACGAGGAAGCAAGCCTGATATCCAGCCTTGACCAAATAAGGAGTTATCACAGAGAGCACTTGCTGTCGGGCTAGCAGAGGCGGAAGCCAACACCATCTTAAGGGTGTGGCACTTCGCAGCTCTCTACAGTTCCCCCTTTTTTGTTTAAAATGCAACAGGCAAGAGTAGAGGTCTGATCTCTGACAATGACAGGGACATTGTACTGATTTTTGTTTGGCGTCATCCACCCAACAAACATCAGACCCGTCCGATACCCTTTTTTCCAGAGGCGGGACTCTTGGGTACCAACCCGCATGCAATCAGACATGCTCTTCTCTGGGTCATTATTAGCTGACTCAGAGTGTAGTGCTCTGTCTCGCATCCTGAGCGTATTTAATTAGTTTTTAAGGTGGCTAACCATGTCTGTGGGGGACTGTCCTGCTTTAATAGCGGTAAAGGCCTGAATGATCATGGCTGCATTGTGTCTTTTTGTGTGACTCTAATCTTACATAGAAACCACAAGCAAACCAGGGAGACCAACACCAAGAGACCTGTTAATGCTCCTATACCCGCCCACTCCTTAAGATGGTTTATTGTAGAAGTCAGCCAGGACGATAATCCCGATGTAAAGGAAAGGTCCACTTTGGTGGAATTCACATGGACCATTGCCAGCCTCACCTCCTTTAAAGTATCTTTAAATTTAAGTGACCAATTCTGTAAAAGAAAACTGGACAAATACTTGGACAAATTTGTAGCGTTTGTAAAATTGGCATACTGAACAGGAACACACCAGGCGCCAAGATTGCCACTCACTTCTCCTTAATTTGGCAGTGATTTTTTAAGCCTTAATGGCTATCTGATCCACCTGTTTAAACACCTGTCCTGGATATCCTGTCTGTATGTTTGTAAATATACCTTTTCATTGCTGGAAGGGGGCATTGTTTATACCATGGGGATCATGACAATAGCTTGGAGTTCCTCCTCATCCTCCTCCTCCTCCTCGGAGTCCATAGACTTTGAGTCTTCTAGAGCTGAGTACATCTTTCTTTTCTGTTTTCCTCCCTTTTCACCGTTTGCCTGCTCTGATCTTTCCTCTTGTAATTGTTCTAAAGCATTTCTCCCCTTTTTAAC